ATGATACATTTGGCATTATAGGGTTAAGATGGGTGGTTTTAATTATGATGGGTGGTTTTAATTATGATGGGTGGTTTTCATTACGATGGGTGGTTTTCATTATGATGGGTGGTTTTCATCAGGCTTTCATTGGGAACCTGCTGTGTTTTTCATTTATATGTTGGTCTAAATGTCTCACACTGAAAGATAAAAACAGTCTGAATCATGTCGCTTAAATCTGCTCTAAAATCAGGAGTGAACCAGAAAAACCTGCATTCATTTCTTATGAACAAATTGCAAAAACTGTGTTTTAATAACAGTGTAATCTTTTTATCATCTTTCTGTGTTCTTTTATTATTATTGGTTTTGGTCCTCAAGCTTCCTGTTACTTTTTCTTATTATTTAAGGATCATCATTTTTATGTTATTATATGTTTTTTTCAAATTTTTTAATCTTAAGACAACTTTTAATCTTCTTTATTTGATATTTTTTCTATTTATTTTTTATTTATTTTTTCTATTTATTTCTATTTCTATTTATTTATGCTATTACATGTTTATTTTATTTTTTTATTTTTTATTTTAAATGTTTAAATATTTTTTTTATTAAATGTTTACTTTTTATTCTATTAATTTCAATTTATTCGTTTTTCCTTGTTTTATCATCTTATTTTTTATGCTATTACATGTTTATTTATATTTTTTAATCTTTTTTTTTATAAGTAAATGTTTATTTTTTATTTTATTTATATCTAGTTGCTTTAGCGATTTACCCCTGTTGGGATTAATAAAGTGGTCGAACATTAGCAGGTTTGAGGAAACTCATTTTATCAATTTTTATTTTTCCCAAATTAAATTCTCTTTCTCCACCAGGAGATTCCAGGTGACATTTTTCTAAAGATGAAATCTGCAGCGTCTGGGCAGCTTCCTCTCTTTCCTCAGTTTGTTTTCTACCTCTGCAATAAAACCCAAATCCTCCAGAATCATTAAGACTGTACTGTGGTGATGGGGGGGGGGGAACACTCATGAGGCTGAGCCTCTCACCATAGGCAGGACTACACAGCTATAATTTGACAGGCCAATATAAAATAACAAATGTTTGTGCCACAAGCAGAGCCAGAGAAGTCCCACCTCTGCAGCTCCGCCTGAAACGTCAGCGGGTTCTTAGTATTCTGCCGCATATCCAGGATGCTTTGGGCCAGCCGGACCGATCGGTTGTACGACTTGTCGAGTTCATCAATTATGAAGAGCAGGTCTGAGCCCAGTGTGGGCGTGACAAGCTGCCGCCAGATGAGAGCCGGCAGGTACATGAGGATGGCCATGGCCAGGAGAGAGTAAGGAAACATCTGAAACCACCACCAGAGAAAAAATATGACAGAAATGGGACGAAGGGGGAAATAACAAGATCAAACAAACCACAACCAGAACCCTTTTTTTTTTCACATCTGCAAATGTGGTTCTTATTAAAAATGCATGGTGACATTTTCAGCTGAAGTTTAGCAAGTTGGAAAGAGAAGGACTGTGTGCAGCCTATCAGTCACGTTAAGTGGGAGAAACAAGTGAAGGGAGCCTGGTGCAGAAAACACTCACTTTGTGCACCCAGAGCGAGCGCTCCTCAAAGTTCCCGTCACCGTCGAGCTCATGATGCATGAGAGAGTCCCAGCAGTACGTGTCTACATAGCTGGCCTGTTTGGCTGTGAAGTTACTGGGAGCGAAGCAGCTGATCTGAGGCCCTGCAGAATAAACACATCAGAGGTGCAAATGTGAGGAGCAGCTCTGCGCCGTTTGATCATTCTGCAGCTGCAGCTTCATTAACAAACACATAGATCTCAGCTCATGTTTGCCCTTTTCCCTTCACTGATACACATTTCCACATTTCAAAATGGCAACCTGACATTTAGAAACCCAGGAAGTTTCTGGAGTTTTATATTTAGTTCACCTTGATATAACCACATGTGTTCCAACCGCTTGAGTCCAATCTGTCATTTTCCATGGCTGCTCCACCCGTTAACAGCAGGGTGGGACCGTCCACACCCGCCTGGTCTTTAGTCCAAACATGGAGCCACTCATTTACTGTCAGGGTGTGATTCCCCGCTGCAGGACAACCTTATTACAGCTACATGCGGCACTGCAGCTGTAATCATGCGTGTTCTTCATCGCTCTCATCCTACAACTAAAATAGGATGTCTTTATTATATTTATAGTAGCTGCAGTTAGGACTGTTTTTAAACCCAATGAAGTGCTGAATCTACAGCAGAACATTTTTAGAGCAAAGCTAGACTGAAGCAGAGGATTTTAAAATAGTTTGTAAAAGCTTTCGGTTTGAATGTAGAGATAAGGGAGGGATGGATGGAAGAGGAAAGGCAAACTCTTTATGGGTGGAGGAAGTTCACTAGGAAAAAAAATATTAAAACAGTGCATTTGTTGTTAAATTAAGAAGGTGTGACACTCTTTTCCAAAGGAACAAGTCAATTAACATTTAAAATAATTAAAAAAAAAACAATTTTATTGTCTTATTTCTGGTTTTAGAGTAAAACTTCTCATTCCATTGGTAGATTCTAAAATAAAATCTTACTTATTTCTGGATGTATTTTGCAGTGTGGGGCGTTATCAGACGTCTGCAGATGTTCCTGGTGATGTGTTAAAACCAGAAACATGTCTGAAATTTCATGCTCAGGGTTCAGAGACGCGTCCTTAAGACATGGAAAAAGCAGATGGAAGAATGGACGCCTGACCTGGTGGTCTGCAGGGTTTAACCCAGGAGTCTCTGTATGAGCGGGTCGGACCCTCTGGTGCTGCCTGATCTCCATGAACGATCATTCATTGTGGAACTCATGTAAAATCATATGACATTATAACTGTTTAACTGAATTCTATCTCATTGATTCTATTTTGGCCCATAGATCTGCAGCTGCTGTGACGTTTTAAAGTAGTTTTAGGATGCCTGAAGTGGACCTGAGTCCCAGTGTCTGAGTCCCACGTCCAGGCAGGTAACATATTGTGACTGGTGGCGGGAACCAGCGCCATCAGCCAGCTGCAGACTGGAGGAATGTCACCCATCAGTCAGACAGGCAGCAGGAAAGCGACATTCAAACACATCTAATTCCTAGAGTAAAATCCGTCAGTCTAACCTGCTGAACATGTGGATTATACAGCGATAGGAAGAGACATCAGTCATCGCCTGAAATGCCAACCTGACAATCAAGCTTCTGCTATGAACGTAGAGCGGCTCCTCAGCCTGCATGGCCATATTGCTCTGCATCGTTTTTACTTGCAGACACGCTTCTCTGCACTTGTAATACATGCAGGAGCATCTGTTTTCACATGCTCCACCTTTAGCGGTAATTAAACGCCATAACGGTGATGTAACCCTGGAAGGATCACCCTGAAGGACTAAAGGCAGGACTGGATGTAGTTAATGATGCTTCCAAACTAAGATTTGATATTTGAGCAGTGAAACCAATAAAAAGCAAATCGATCATAATTCGTTTTTACTGTCTGAAAGGAATCAGTTTTCTTGTTGTTGCATTTGCAGACATCTGTGTCGCCCTCGATTTCTTTTTGTAAAAAAGACCTAAATTATGTTTTTCCCTCCCCAAAAAAAGTAAGCGTACTAAACTATAATGTGTTAAAGGTTAATAATGTATTTCCTGAGAAAATAAATGCATTAAAATCCTTTCTGTTTTATCTGTACAGGAAACGGGATCCTACGCTACTTCCAGGAGCTAACGCTATCAGCTTTGGGTTTGGTGTTATTCTCATTATGTTATATAGAGCGTAATCTAAAGAAAGAAACAACTAAAACACAGATAAACATGGTTGAGCATGTCCCATGATGACGTCAGAGAAGCCGTTTAATGAAGAAAATGTAAAAAGTATCAAATTGTCTCAGAAAAGTCATTAAAAATGTAAGATGTGTATTAGCATTCTTTAGTCATTTAATTATTATGATTTAAGCAGCGGTGGCTGGCCACTAGAGGGCGCTAGGGCAATGCCCCACCCACCCAATGACCCTAAGCAATAAAAAATTATCCTTTTTTTATAATTCAATTTTAAATTAAAATTTTAAATATTTCAAAGTATATTTATATTTCAATTTAATTCTATGTTTTTAAATGTGTAAGATAAATATTTAATCGTTAATGACTAGTAAAGCACCATTCCATTTTTTGTTGGATTGATAGACTGATAGACAGGTCGAGTTGCGGGAGCTGGAGACGCATTGGAGCAGGAGGGAAAATGGCGCCAGAATTGTCCTTTTCCAGGACCTGGTTTATCTCCAAGGCTAGGCTAACTGCATGCAGCGAGGCTAACTGCATGCAGCTAGGCTAACTGCATGCAGCGATGCTAACTGCTTGCATCTAGGCTAACTGCATGCAGCGAGGCTAACTGCATGCAGCTAGGCTAACTGCATGCAGCGATGCTAACTGCTTGCATCTAGGCTAACTGCATGCAGCGAGGCTAACTGCATGCAGCTAGGCTAACTGCATGCAGCGATGCTAACTGCTTGCATCTAGGCT